ATTTCAATCGAACAAGAAAACAAAAACATGAAACAAACCTTCTACGTTAGACTATTCATGTTGAAGCTGAAAGAAATAGTTTTGAAATTTAAACCAAATCAAATAGAATGAAAATATTGCTTATTATCAGCAATAGACCCGTTTTTATCCGTAAAACCAAATTATCTTAAAAAGTCTGAAAATCTTTTTCTGAAAACTCATTTAAAAAAACGCAAAATGCCATATAAATATTCTTGGTTAATTTGTGACACTCTTTGTAACCAAATACAAAGAACACTTACCCATGGACACCTAGATTTCTGTTTTCGGAATCTTAGAAAGCGCTCTACTAATACATTAATAAAACAATAACTCAACATGTGAGCGATTAAAAAGTTGGATTATAGCAAAGACGACAACGTCAGAAATCAATGATACCCTATGGTTTTATACGAAAGAAAAAAATATTGTATTTTTCTATTTCGACGAAAGTTAAAAACGTTAAGAAATGTTTGTGATTTTACTTTTACAAAGGAAAATTCCTCCCGCTGATATCTCTTATATGAAATGAACTCAGTTGAATAGCTTCGATCAATAAAGAACTCATATGCATTTAGTCTTACGAAGGACTTTCACAACTATGTCAAGGTCGATCAGAACTAATCAGAATAAATCTGATTGAATTAATTTTGAGTCTATTCTAGTGGTTTTTCTTTGTAAGAACTTCGTTTTTACTTTTCACAAGAATCTGAACTTCTAAACAAGAAGACAATACGTCTCGATCATAGATAAACACATGGAGAATGTTGCAAAAAAAAACCATGCGCACGATAATCATGATGAAAAGTCCCTAAAGCAAGTCGTTTGTACGTTGTACAAATGCATGATTAATACTAAGAAAGGCCGCCAGTTGTGATCAATCAGTATGGCAATGTAAAAATAATTAGTCTGCACCTGTGTAAATGAAGAGAAATGAAAAGTGAGCGATACTCGGGAAATAGTAACACTCTCCTTAGTGGCATTTGACTGCACGCCTTCTTCGTTGAGTCACTCCACAAAAATAAACTTTTCTTTACGCCCGTTTCACAAACCGATACTTTCATATTGGACTCCTGAATATTCATCTCTTGAAAAGAAAGCTATTGAAATTCCAAGTATATATAAGATTTTAAATGAGTTCATTGACGTTTTATCCTTTAGATATCTAGTACCTTAAATATTCTGATAAAATTTCATGAAACAAGCATCTTTTGTAACGAAGCTTGTCATTTAAAAATTAGCTCAAAAAAGATACTATTCATACAAGTTTCGACTTCTTCTTTTACTCTTCTGGTTCTATCACGATCACAAATTATGAAACTATTCCTGTTTTCGTCAGCAATCATGTGTATCAGACCATTTAACTTATCAGCTCTATTTCGACGAACACTTTCACTGACAATTACTCGGTCATTCACACTTAAATCGTGAATTAAATACCAAGTAAGTAATATCATATTAGTAGTGAGTACAACACAGATGTCGAACAGCATTTCACAAAACGATCTCAACTACTATTTGTCTACAGAAGTTCGTCTTTCATGTGTTAATTACAATGTATTCTGTTTTGTTCTTCCGGAATCAAAGTAAACAAAGTATTTGTGAACATTTATTTGTTTCGTGACACAGCATTCATAAAAACGGTTTTTATGTTTTTTCATAGGCTTATGTGATGCGACTAAGTTGTGATGAATTTTTGCATAAATTTATCAATGATCGAAGCTAGGAGTATTTTAAAATCTATCGATTATCTAGTTATTCTTTGACTGTTTTTATTGAGGTTATTCTCGTTCTTGCCTTGCTCAATACATTCTCTTTACCGCCATCTGAACCACGATTTCAAGCTCTCTTCATAAATTTTAGTCTTGAGAATGGTGAGTTCAATCTTGCTACTGAAAGATCATGCTCAAACAGTAAAGTTATCGACACCTGAACATATGATTTAAACTTGTCAACATCAATTAGATTGCGATAAATTGAATTTTCAAAGAATTAATGATGATCCTTCAAAGTCACACACAGTTCTTATCTGTACGGATAAACCTCAATTAGAGAACAAAATATTCTGTGAATTTTTCTTATCTGAAGGAAAATAACCATCTTAGTATTAGTAATCGGCACTCTTTCTGGGTACAACTTTCGACTCACCACTCATTTGTCTTACTTTTGTGATTCTTTTAAAACAAACGTTTCAACTCAGGGTACTATGAACTTTTTCATGTGAAATTTGCATCGGTCTTATATCTAACACTTAAAACCTTGAAGACGACTTGATTGTATTAACAAATGGAACCAACAAATTCATTTTTTCTGCGCATTCGTCTTGAGACAAGCTAATGCGAATGCTGTACTCTGAGCAGATGTTTTCGCTATGTTTGCTCTAGTAACGATGAGAAAGATGTTTATATTTTGATTTCAGTTTACTTCTGATTATTTTTTGATTGCGATGAGTTCGAAAAAAGCCGTATTGGAGAAAAAATACCTCAGAAGCAACTGTCTGGGATGCAGTACTCATCAATATTTTCTCGGTGTACTAAATAAGCACTCACATTTGATTGTCTCTTTCTCTTATGTATTGCACAATACGGACGAGATAAAAGAAATAACATGCCGATTATTTCGTATTTTATCTTTTTTGTTATATTTTTTGACACTTTTCCCTCTTGTGTATAGAAGCAATTGTTTTCCTTCAAAAAAAAATAGAAGTAGAAAGACAGGTGATGAAGAAAAATGTGGTGATCATTTGACTACTTTCTTGACACTCTATCATGTTTTAATTTTATTGCAATGTACTATGCAATCTCTTCACGTGATAGATGCATTTTGAGTCATATAAGCTGTTTGATTGCATTAACATGCTTGTATTTACGTTGCTTTTCTAATAGTAACATGATAAAAGGTGATATCAATTTTTGTAACAATTAAATTCTAGTTCTTTTTTTTTAAGAATCATAAAATCTTTCGTTATTTTATACATTTTTCTCATTCAATTCTTCGAATTACAGCATGACATTCTTAATTTACAAAAGAAACAGTCAACAAAAGAAAAACATACAACAAAAAAAGATAGACAACCACTTCAATAAAGTAATATATGTAAAAGTTTATATTATAATTCAACTGTTTGGTTGCGTGTGCAAGCATTTTCATTTATCAACTATTCAGTTATTGAAGATGATACAAGTTTTGAACATTTGCGACCGTTTGAGCTACTACTTGTCGAACAGGCACGTTGAAAAATTCGATAACTGATTGGTATGCTTTTGCAACAAAACTTAGGTGAGTTTCCTAAATGTTAAGACACTAGAAACGACGCAGAAATTTTCTTTTATTTTCAGAAATCCGTTGGATAGCATGCAATTCATAAGCCTCCAAGTGAGGTATAATACTTTCAGGTATAATTTTCGTTCTATCAATTTCTTTTATTATTGAGTGTAAAGTTGTGTTTGTAAGATGGTAATGTGAACAGCGGAAATATTTATTTGAATATATTGCTTTCAAAATATTCGATACACTTGTTTCATATTTTTTTTTCGCCGAAGTATACAATAGTCAAGTGTATCAATAAAATTATTTTTTTTGATATTATCATAATCGGTAATTTTTTTTGTTTTGCTAATTCCAATAGATCGAAAAATAACTTTTCTCTTGAAGTTCAACGGATCAATACCCAAGACTACAGATAAATACTTAAGGTATAATTGAAAAGGCAGTAAAATTAGTCCGTCAAATTAATTGATGCGTATAAACATTGGTTTTGTTCCACAAGTGCTATGTAGTTTCGTATATCATGTATTCAACGTAATAAAATGCAATTTTCTACAGAAAGAATATTCAAGGCGAGAAAAATACATAATCATTGTAATGATTCATTAGTAGGGGCGTCATTTTTCATCAATAAAGTTTCATGATATTGATTTGATGCCTAATGCAAAGCAGTAAATATTTTTACTCGAGTCATAATTATAAATTGCAATACAGATTTATAAATTTAGTCATTTTGACCGTTCTAACGCTAAAGTCTTTACTTCAAATATAATCCCAAAAAAGTTTATTTTTGTCTTGGCGATGCAAGTACCGATAATATTTCGAACATTTAATTTAGTTTCCATCTCTAATTAGACAGCTACTCAGATTTTCGTTGACTTCTTCTCTAAATGTGAAGATACTGGTAGCACAAAGTTCATCAGCTAACGTTTTTGAATTGTTCAATACGAGATAATGTGTATACAGCTACGAAAGTAGTTATTCACAGGCAACAATCCTTAAAAGCTGGTAAATGTTCATAAAAATAATCGTTACTAATTATTAAAATTAATCTTTAATGTCTTTTTTGCAATGCTAAAATAGTAGTCGTTGATGTTCTTGAAACATTTTTATATTTTTACGTTGTTGCTTAGTGAAAAAATTTATTATTTATTTTTTCCGATATGTTTTCTAACTTATTTTGCTGGTCGAAAACGACTTAAATGGATACATTTTCATCTCCTGGTATGTAATACGTAATCTGGTAATATTTAATGCATAAGTTTTCCATCCACTTTGTATATTATCTTTGAGAGGTTCTGCTCATTCATAATTCAAATCAATCAATGTAATTTCTGTAACGTATAGAAATGAGATTATATAGATCTACTTCGAAATGCTATGCGCTTATTCCATCATCGTCATACTACGATGTTGCGATATACTTGTATATTATTAATATTCAAAAGAGATGATGTGTGTGCCATAAACCGTCATGAATTAAATTATAGATGTCACCGCTATTGATGATGTCAATTATGTGGAGGATCGTGTCAATGCTAAGTAACTATTAGTTCAATGATTCTTATGGTGGATATATTGAACAAAGATTCGATTTAATCTAAGTCTTATTTCGAATTATAAAATACGGATTATACTTTTTTCTCATTTTAGAAAAAGAACATCTTACATGTAGAGTAGGAAACAGCATGTGAACTTCTTTTGAACTGTAAAAAATGTCTAGTGCATCAACTGGAAAGCGTCCAACAACACCGAAAAGTATGTCTAGATAGGTTTCATTTACTTGTAACTGTTTTACCAGAAATGTTTAGAATTTGAAAGATTTTTCAAGCGTTTACTAATTGTTAGAGACATCTTTTTTCTATTGCACAATGATATAAATAGTTGTTATCGAACAAATTCTTTTTTCCTTCAAAAATTTTATTGAATTTTAAGAATATGTAAAGAATTTATTATAATTTTTTAAAATAAATATTGAATATCTTCTTTTTTTTTGTCTTTTTAGAACAACGAGCACGATCACAATCGCAGCAAAAAAGTCGTAATCACGAAGATGTTTGTGTTCGAACAAGTTTACCACCGTTAGTCGAAGGTCCTGTGTATGCAATTCTTATTTGTCATATACCTAAATTACGTTGGAATGCGAAGCATCAATCTCTTAGTCGATTTGTTAATATTAAAGTTTCATGGTGGGGTGAAGAGGATACCTTAGCATTATTCAAGTAAATAAAACGAAAATAAGAAAACAAATATTTTATATTTTATTCTGTTATAGACCGCAAGTATCTGGTACCTCACCCTCACCCTCACAACAACTAAGTACAACAGCAAAATATTATATTCGTAGTGATCTTAAACAATTTGCTCGATACTTAACAGGTTTGCAATTATTTAAAAAGAGGAACGAGTTTCTCTTTAATAATAGTTATTTTTATTTATTTAGACGCTGCCGAACTCGTACTTAAGGTGTTTGATTCTGAAACAAATCGTCTTATTGGTATTGTTAAAGTGCAAAATTTATCGTTACTTTCAATTAGCAGTCCAATAAAAGGTTATCAATCTATATTTACAAATAAAGGTGAAAAATTAGGTGAAATTTTCGTTTTACTTCGTCTAATTTTACCTGGAAGTAAATGACATAAAATGTTTACTTTTCAATATATAAATAGTTTTGATTTCAGCTCACGATAGTAATGAAAATCTCACTGCAATAAGTGTTACATCAGATGTAAGTAATCCATCATCACGACGTAATTCAATTGGAACTCATGATTATAATCAAGTAAATTTCAATTAGAAATATTTCATTGTCAAAAGAATTTATTGTTTTATTATAGAATGATCAATTTGAAAATGGTGTACGAACGTATAAACTTGATCGAGCTTACAATGGAGAACATGTAAATTCTGTTCATTCAAGTGATAGTACAGTAAAACAACAACGTTTTGAGTCAACAGTTCCTTTTAAAGCATATACAAACGATTCAAAAACTTCACAATCAGGTTAACAATTAAATTACATTAGTTCTTTAGTTTATCTTATTTGAATACAGGTGTACAAACATATAAAGAACAACCAACTGGTCATGTAGTTGAAGCATTAATTGAACGTGCTAATCGTCTTCGCGAAGATATGATTAAATCATCATTACCAAAACCTACAATAATAGACAAAGAAAGTCATTCAATTAATTCAGCATTATTGATTACTAATAATAATAATGCTAGTATTCTTAGTACTCAAAATGAAAATCAATCTATTGATATGCTTGGTGATAATATTGATCCTTTACTTGATAATGAAAATATTTGTGATATGCTTGGTATAAAAACAACTGGAGATCTTAACAATTCGAATGATTCAATATTAACTGATCTTGATGGACTTGAAAATGAACAGAGTCTGTTAGATGATCTTCTCTATGGTGACAAAGAAAAATGTGATACCAATAATAATAATAATAATAATATTAATCAAAAAGCTACAACTTATTCAATACGTAAACATCATCTACGTGGAAAACCACCTACAGGTCGTTCACCTAGTCCAAATATGACACGTGTTGGTGGATTATCAAATCGTTCTCGTTCAACAAGAAGTCGAAGTTTAGCACAAAGTAGTGATAGTGATACAGCATCACGTGTTTCATTCGATATGCCAAGTTCCGATTTAGATGATAGTGGAAATGGTAAAGTAGTAAATTTGTATATTCTTGTGAAACACGATCTAAAGCAAGTATCTAAATTAAAGAAATAAAAATGTGAACCCAATCCACAGACTATGATAAACATTGCTGATATATGATTACAGATCGTATATCAAAAACATCTCGTTAAGAAGTATATTCCAAAATTCATAGAATAAAACAATGTCGCTGCCATTAGCAACATCAGTTACATCGTGTTTCACATATTAATCTTGTAGGAATTGCGCTAACACCTATTTCTAATTTAGAAAGTCATGATGATGATAATCTTAGTACAGAACGTATTCAATTACTAAGTTATGTACGTACAGCTCGTGTTCGTATTGATCAATTACGTTTGAATATGCTTAATAATGATCGAGAGTCTCCATCACATTCATCATTTGGTCGAACAAATAAAAATACACGTGCAACGTAAGCAAAAAGTTTCTAAATAAAAACTTTAAAAAAAACAATCAATTAAAAAAATTTATTTTATTTTTACCAATAGAACTTATTTTATTGAATATCAATTTCCTGTTATTGCAAATAGTCGTGATGGTCAGAAAAATGAAGCAACACAAGTTATGAAAATTGCATCGAAACGTTTTGAAACTAATAATGATATTATATTTTCACATTTATCCACATATCCATGTTTATTAAATGAAACAAGTTTAAAAAATTGGTGGCGTTCATTATTAATCTTTAAAATTTATAGTCGTATGTCAGGTACAACAAGTCCAGCACAAATTGGTTTTGCTGTTCTACCACTTCGTAATATATTAAAAGCAGAGAGTTTACATTTCGAACAAAACTTAAATGTTATTGATCGTACACAAATGAGTCAACAAAAGATTCCAAACAAAATAGCAAAAAAATTTTCTATAGGACATTTACATGTTATGCTTGAACTTGATTCTGATGCAACAAATTTTAAACTTGAACTTGATCGTATTCGTCTTATTGAACAAAATAAACCAAAAAAACAACGTACTGGAAAAACTAAGAAAAATAAAAAGAAATCAAAACAAATTATTATTAATCCAAATAATGATTTACAATTACCAAAAGCATTTTCAAGTGAAGGATTTATGGCTAATGAATCAACATTGGAAATCAATGATGGTTTCGTTGTACAAATATATCTTTCAATAGTTGAAGCACGAAATATTGCACAAATATCAAGTAATAGTAATAAGAGAAAACAAAAAAAACACAACATTCGAAATATTTTCAGTTTTATATTTATTATCATGTTTGTTTTTGTCCAGGTAATTTACCACGAAATCCATATTTTGTTTGCCGTGCATTTTGGAATGAAGAACCAATAACATCAGTTGTTTGTTGGGGTAGTTCATCACCAAGATTTAATTTTGAACAGGTTTGATATTTGATTTATAATAGAAGAATTTTCTTACTATCAAAGTTATATTTTAATCATAATCATACTAGTACTATATTATTTCACAGACGTAGAATCTGCCGTTAAAATGAAACAAAAACTTTTTCTTTTTACTTACTAGAGAATACAAAACTAATCATTACTGATCACCAATTGATAGAAGTAATTTTCACGTCAAAAAATAATGAATTTAGGGAGATGTAGTTTCCGTTTACTAACACATGTCAGTGCTTTTTACTTGTAACATAGACCCGTTGATAGAGTTTGAAATTATGAGTCAACTGAACTTCATTCTCAGGTAAAACCTCAACAAAATAAATGTTTGAAAAATAAAGTCAAAATTTTTGCTTCAGCTCAGAGCGTATTTTACTAACACCCCACAGAATTTTTACTATTATCTACTGTAACATCAAAACAAAAAAAATTCTTCTCGTATCGGAAGTAGAACGTTCGATACATCTATTCCTTATTCATACATAGTATGAGTAATCAAGAAAAAAAATTATATTTATTTTTTTATTTTCAACTTTAGAAAATTCCAATATTACTTAATAAATCTACAGTAGAAAAAATGCATAATAATTTTATTGTTATTGAAATATGGGATAAAAAAATATCTGGTCCAGCTGATAAAATAATTGGTATTGTTAAAGTATCATTAGAACAATTTTATGTATCATTCAAGGATAAACAAATTAGTCAAGTGTTTTTACGTGCACAATATCCAGTAATAAGTATTGATTCATGGTTACCTATAATTGATCCATTTACAAGTACTAATAAATCTCATGGTGAAATTCAAATTGTATTAGCTATGGGAACATCTGATCAAATAACAGCTATAAAAATTGCACATGTTAATAATAATAATAATTCATTATCTCCATCAACTAATAAACAATCATCGACATTATCTAATGATGATCAAACAACATTAATTGAACATTATTTTGAAGTATTAATTGAAAGTATAAATGGTTTACGTGCATTTGAATCAATGGTTTGGGGTGAAAGTGATTGTTTTATTCAATATTTATTTCCTATACAACAAGAACAACAATTAATAAATAATAATTCAATAAAACCATTTGAATTTCGTCCAATTTGTACAGCAGCAACATTATGTACATCCGATCCAACATTTCATGATAGTAATAAATTTCGTTATATACTTTCATCGACAGATGTTTTACATAAATATTTTTATGCTGGTAAAATAATTTAAACAATAATTGAAATTGAACTTTTCGTTTCTTTTTCAGCTTGTCAATCACCATCAACTATTGAAACTTGTATTCCTTTTGAAGTTTGGTCACGTTTTTATTATCCAAATATTCGTGATCAACTTCTTGCAAAAGTACAAGCTTTTAACATTGTTTTTTTAAATTTCTTTTAAACAAACGAAAAGAATTTTCTTCTTATTTATCTAGGGAAAATTACCAGCTGCAAAATTATGTAGTATGACAACAATGTTAAATACTGATGCAGATAATAAATCAGTTCAGTCATTTCGTATACCTCTTGAAATCGTTCGAGAAGATTCGAAACATGAACAACATCGATATCCACCAGCACCAACATATGGAGGAGATTTATTAGTCACTGTTACATATAAAAGAAATCCTATCAAGGTAATATACTTTCAATATAAATTAAATTTCGATAATTACAGATGATATTATATATAACTCTAAAGGATATATAGATGGAAATATTTACCTTTCATCTTTACTCGTATTCTTTGATAGTTAAAGGTACTCATCCTCTCTTTTGGGCTATTTTTGGTGGCAAATTCTTTTTAAGTAGATCTTCAGGGGTTTCTCTTGAAATATCTCTAAAAATCTGCTTAAAAATTTTTTTTCTCGAGCATAGGTTTGATCATTTTCAATAGTCTAGCTGTGGTACAAATTCTAGTCTGACTGGTTCTACTGTTGCGGAAAACTAGAAGTAGTTGAAAAGATGGGAACTACTCTAAACGGTTCTCTTCCCTCAAAAATCGATCTTAGATCAAGCACATTCACATCGTATGAAATTTTGCTCGTACAAGAATTGTATCCAATAGATTTTTTAGGAAAAAGATTATTTATTATTTTGAATAGTATTCTATTAAATTTAAATGATGAATTTTATTTCAGAGAAATGAACGACAAGCTCTTACTGATCGATTAGCTAATAAAAATTCTCAAGTGTGTATTTCTGTTGGTATTATTCGTGCTTGTGGATTAAAAGTAAATTATTTTTAAATTTTTCATTGTTACATATTTCGATTTGAATAGCATGCTACTCTATCTCAAGCTCGACATGATGCTCGTTTAAATTATCCATCACAAGTTGGTGTTAATACTTTTGCAAAATTATCATTATCATTTCTATCTGAATCGGTAAAAAATATATTTAAATCTAAACTGAGATTTTGTTCAATCTTAAATCAGTCTAAAGATTGACATCGCATTCGAATTCTTATTGATGAACTCTGATAAAATAATGACATTTTAGATAATTCAATCATTAATGAACAGATGTAAATATAAAGATTCTAACAGTTTTCCTTTCAAGCTGTTCTTATCTGTAGAACGGTTCATAACTTCATGAGCTCTAACTTAATTGATTATCGAAAATATCATTTCTTCATAAGAGCTCATTAATTAAAAATTTCAGTTTTGATGATAACATTTATAAATTTAACGTTTTGTTTCTATTGTTAAAGGAATCTCGAACAACACGAACAATAGCTCGAAGTTTTGTACCTGAATTTAATCATTCAGTTGATTTTCCAGTTCCACTTATATGGAATGATAATCGTAGTCATACAATATCACTTGCTGAAATATTAGAACATGGAGAATTAAAAATAGATCTTTATCATCAAATGAGTTCAACAACTGATTCAAATCAACATCTTGATCGACGACCATTAGATATTCATTTATGTTATTGTACTATTTCATTGAAAGATTTAATATCTCGACATACAGGTACATGTAGGGTATTTTCTATGGCCACCGCATGTACATTGAATCTCACTGTTGATGATAATCCGCACTTTTTGAGTACTTCAAAATGATATAAAAAAAGACTGACCACACAAAGAAATTCCAAGCAGACTATTTTTTGACACACGACGGTTTCAGTGAAAAATCTAGATAATATTTTTTCTATGATGTATTTGTACCGTTTTCAAGCTGTTGAAAAGCACTATCGATCTATATGAATGCCACGGCCAGAACACAAATTTTGAGATATCTTATATGAGAATTTGACATGACAGAAATCATATTTCTGTAGGGGATCGATTTCATCAGTAATCGAACATGTTTCCCATAGGTCGTGACAGACCTTGTTGATATACGATAATAACTTCTTTACTTCTATTATAGGCATCAAAGGTTGGTATCCATTAGCAAGCGCTAATCGTGTTGTTACATCTGAAATAGCTTCTGATCCATCTGAACATTGTGTTGGTGGTTTGGAATTATCTATTCGTTTTGGTCAACAAGATGATCGCTGTCGTGTTATTGATTCTGCTAAAACACTTGGTTGGCTTGATGATAATTATATTGATGAAGAAAATTTTCTTGATGGTAAATATGAAAGAAAAAAAAACAAATAAACATTTTGAAATTAATTTTTGTTTTTTTCTTAAGATCAAAAAGATCTTGGATGTTTAATAACAATATCAATTGATCGCATTCAATTTCCAATTCAACTTGCAACACGACCAGGAAAAGATCGTTTTGATGATCGAACGAGTATTTTTGTGCAATATCGACTTTATGATAAAAGTAATTCGGAAAAAGAAAAATCAATTTTTGTTTTTCTTTTCTTCTACAATACATATTTGTTTTTAGTGCCAATTATAACTAAACGAAAAAAACCAATTGTTGATAGAAATAATGTTATATGCGAATTAAAATTTACAAAAGATCATTTATTTTTATGTAGTGCACCATTTTTATGGTATTTACGTGAAGAAAAATTAGAAGTACAAATTTGGACAAGTGATAATGATTCATATGATTATTCTCAATCATTATCATCAACAGATAAACTTATTGGTTCGATTTATGTTGATTTAAATTCACTATGTGATAGAAAAAGAAAATCTCATCGATTAAGTGCCATTTTACCAATGTTTAAACATGGAACAAAAGATTTAGGTGGAGCTTTTGCTCAAGTACATGTCACTATTGATAAATCAAAAGATTTCAATGAATTACGGGTATATTTCATAGTTAGAAACAAGAAAATTTCTAATACCTGAAGATAAGTTTATTTGTGTCGAATCAGAGATATAATAGTGATCAAGAAATTTTTTCAACATCTACCCTTTGGTCTCTTTGTTGTCGAAATTAAATAAAAGATTTAAAAACTTGATAATTGCAACTCATCGCTGAAGTTATTCGGAATTCCATGCTTGATACTAGCTGATATGAAACTATTATATATCTAATATGCATTAAGGGCAACTTTCTTTCTTTCTCAAGAACAGCTACACCAAACCTTATGAAACTTTCCGGAAAGACAAATCTTGACTAGTGGAGTACAAGTTGCCATAAACTCAGAATTCCGGAATGCTTCCTTCTATGAGATACAAGGTGTAAGGACCAAAAATTACTTGAAGTTTTCTCCTTTGCAAGCAGCAAAAATTAAAGTTTTATGACTCAACTTTTTTTTTAATAGCAACTAGGACTGAATTGGGGTGTATATATTATTTTTTTTTAAATATGTAAGATCCGCCAAAAACTACCAGAACATTATTTAAAGGAAAGAATATATATATGTATACACCTCAATTGGGTACTAATAGTTGTCACACAAATAAATTTTAGTTCAATCGTCAATGAAAAAGTTGATTTTGAGAAAACGCGAAACAATGACTCACAGAACGCATTTGAACAATAGAACCGTTTGTTTTAAGAATTTAAATAAGCATGAAATCTATGTTTTCATATGATATTCGATAGAGGATACTTGAATAATTTTCTAGATACAAAAAAATCAAAATCGAAAACAAGTAAATGTTTGAGGTTGAGTATCGTTAAGTTTTGTTGATCTACAACAAAGAATATTGAAATTGTATGATTGTTATATATTTTAGAGTCGAAGTGATCTTGATACATCGAATGATGGTGAACTTCATAGTTATTTAGAAAATCGTCATTTAAATTTAGTCGATAATAATCATGCACTTCGTAAAATAACAAATAATGTTTTTTCAGTTGTAATTAATATTGAACAAGCAGCACATTTACCAAATGTTTATTCTAAACAAGAGTAAATTTAATTTTATGTTAAAAAAAAATATTTTATTAGTTTTGTTTTATTTAAGAAATGCTCATATTTCACCAAGTCCATATGTTACTTATTCAACAGCTGATTCTCATCATTTATGTCGTACGCAAATCTTAAAATTAACATGTAAACCTATATGGAATTATCAACAATCAGTTAAATTAGCTGTTGAACATTTATTTAATGATAAAAAAACATTTATACTTAAAGTTTGGCATAAAGTTAATGCTGATATTGAAACAATACCAGGTAATTAATCATACAAATTATTAAAATTAAAATAAAATTTTCTTTATTCTATCGAATAGAAAAATCAGGTGATACAGTTCTTGGTTTTGTATCTATTGATTTAAGTCCATTACTTTCTGGTTTACAACAAATATCTGGTTGGTATAATATTGTTGATACGATTGGTAATATTCAAGGACAATTAAAAATTAGTATTATACCACAAGAAGATCTTCGTGAATTAAAACGTTTCAAATATAAATCAAATCAAAATCAAAATCAAACTAATATCAATTCATATCGTTCAACATCAACAAGAAGTGAAAATATATCATCAACAATTACTAATGATCTTTCAGCAAGAACTGTAAGTTAAAGAAAAATATATTGAACTTGATTTTTATATTGAACTATTCTAGAGTATGGGCGGTCAAGCAAGTTTAAATTCATCAATGATTGATGATGAAAATAATAAAAAATCATTTTTAATGAATAATCTACAGTAAGTAAATTATTCAATAGTAAAATTATAATTTCTTTTTTCAGACTTAAACTTTTTTCTTTGATGAGAGAAACATCTTTAACCGATATATTTTGCTTTAAATAATCTACCTATATGAAAAATATGAATTCAAACAGAGAACATCACTTGGAAAAGTTTGCCCGTGTGAGCAAAACTTTAACGAAGACAGAAGATGACATCTATATTGAGAATGTTTCATGTAATTCACTTTTGTATTTTGATCAAAACTGTTTCTTCAATTCAAACTATAAAAAAAGTAGTAGTATATACTAGTTTACAGAACGATGCTTACTCTACAAACTACAGCGTTGATTTATTGTTTCAATATCTTTCATATGAACAAAAGTTTACCAGAAATGTTACACAAAGACTTTTGCAACATGGATGAAGGATAAGAATTTTTTGAGATATACATAACTTTCGAAATTGCACAGAGCAGAAATATTCACTGGTTGTTGAAGAAAAAATGACTTCAAATAAGAATTAATAAATATTCTTTCTTGTTTCTAGTCGTCATTTAAATGAACTTGGTGTAATAACTGAACGATTGAAAGCTCGTTTATATTCTGGTTCAGATACAGCTTCAATAACAAATGAATCATCATCTACAATGATAAAGAATCGTTGTCAAAGTGTACCACCACCATCAACAACATTGGCACCATTTAATTTACCATTAAATACAAATTCAATTCGTCAAGATATTGATACAACACGTTCAACAACAACAACAATTCAAACAGATTTATTAGAACATTTTCCTGAATCACTTAGTGGTCGACCATTAATGAGTAATGGTCTTAATGTAACTGATGTACTTTCACATCATAATGATCAAGTTCGTCTTGCACAAGAACTTATGACAAAAGCAAATCATTTACTTGAAACATCAAAAGATTTCTTTAATAAAACATCAATACCAACACCACCTCCACCTTCAACATCATTGTCAACTATAATGGAAAAACGATCAACTCCATCACCACCGCCAGTATTACCAAATTTTAATGCAACAAATGAATTTCGAATTACAGAAGGATCACCACTAATTACTTCTAAAAATACTGAACATATCACGTGAGTTTTCAACAAAAAAAAACAAAACAAGTCTTTCATTATTCTCCAAGTAACAGATGACAAGAGGATTGATTTAGAAATACTCTATTAGAAATAATATTACTCAAAAAACGATTAGAATGACGGACAGCAATAAACTAAAGGACGAGCGGCGGATATAAGTTTAGACCAATTGTATTCTTAAGTTTTCTTCTCGATGATACCTAGCTAGCAAGAATCTGAAAAAAACATTTGTGTAGTTGAAAGAACTTTTTATTAAGATTGATATACCTGAAGATTCTAACAAAATTACTTGGATGAAGGTCTCCGGAAAGTCAAGACTAGTTTCTGACTTCTATTGAACTGCATTTAATTTACAGAAGGATTTTTCTCTTTTTATTGAAAAATTCAATAAATGTATAAAATTTCTCCGAATTATTTACTGAATCAAATGGAAGCTTTGGCCAAAAGTTTTGAGTTGAAGTCAGAAAATTGGTTTTATGGGTCTTGGTTTTCCGCACACTTTCATCCAAGGAAATTTATTGACGTCTTTGAGTTTATCAATTCTAATAGAAAATCCTTTCAGTTACACAAATATCTTTTTCTGATTCTTGCTAACTATTACAGAGTTGATAATTTTTATTTTTCATTTAAAACTAAATAGTAATTCATTTGAACAACAACATCATAATGCTTCAATAGTTTGGTCTGATGAAGAAGATAATGAACATGATCAAAGTTTTCTACCTATTGGTCTTCCTCCTCATCATCATCGTCTAGTGACACCTGTAACTGTTACACAACCTCAACCACGACCGATACAAACGGAAGAAACTTCTACACATCGGGAGCAACATGATGATATTGATGTTGTTCAAATTCGTCCATTAAATAATATATCTGCATTCAATTTCGACTGTCAACAAATGAATGCAGATCGACTTAATGGTAATTTATCCTCAAAACCAATAACACGTCGTAATATATTTTCAACTGAACCAGTAACAGATTACCAACAACAACAACAAATATCTTCATCATTTACAGATCCACATAAAATATCATCACCAACATTAAGTATCGAACGTCAATCTTTCTCATCATCTTCTTCTTCATCATCACCACAACCGCCACCACTACCAACACAAACCCAACAATCATTTAATTCAGATACATCCATTATTAATAAAGATTGGTTAGAACAACAACGTATACGTAATGCTAATACACATTGTGTATCACCATCAACAATTCATGATCATTCAAACATAAAACAAGTATATTTCGTTATTTTTAAACTATGAAATAGAATTACTTTTGTTTTTTAAGCCATCGAGTCGAAGTTCACATTTAGCATTTCTCGATCGTCCATTACCAAAATTTTTTCCATCAAATCGTGAAATGGAACAATCAATGAAACATGTTTCACAAGCACTTTCAACTACAAATACTTCTTCAGTAAATCATTTTTAAACATCTCTTTTATTGTTTTCATTATACGAAAAAAAAAAAATTATCTTTCTTCAAAATAGACCACAAGTACTAGTCCAACATCATCATCAAGCAATGTAATGAAAACAATCATTGAACGATTACGTGCAAAACCTTCAAGTGAATTATTACGTGGTCTATCACCATTAGATAATACTTTACTTCAACAATCTGAATCATCAAATTCAACAACAGTAAATGTAACAAGATTAGAAAAAATATTTAAAACTAAATATACAACTATTCCTCCGTCGAATTAAATCAAAAACTTTATTTTTTTGTTTGTTTGTAGAAACAAATCTTTAGTTTCTTTTGTATAACAGTGATGTTATAACAACTAAGATTACATTTAAAGTTCAGATAGTTACAATGTTTTCATTTATTTAATTCAAATAACAAAAGTTATTATTGTAGATCTAGTCTAGAGTTCTTGTTCTGTTTTTTTTTTCTCTTGTAACGATATAATATAAAATAATTTGGGTTTGAATTAATTTCTTGTTTATTTAAATGAAAAATAAAATTTATCATTTTAGTATTATTTTAAAGAGGTGAGTGGATAATATTGCCGATTAAGTCTGACTTTAAGAGCACAGCTTCACAGACCAAGCGATTAAAAAATCAACGCTTAGTCTGCGAAACAGTGATCTCATGTCTCACATTTAATTTATCACACCCACGATATTTAGGCTGATTATATCAAGTATTTATTTGATATAAGTTGCAAAACACTATTCGGTGATTATATTTTCTGTATCGATTTAAATCAAAATTTGAATCGTTAACTTCGATAACACGTGGTCTAACCGTTGAATATATGTCTATTATTTTCTCATTGTATAGATATATATATATATATAAAGATCAAAACGAAAATTTTTCATTAAAAATCTTATTTTTTTTTAGATATGATTATCCAACAAAATGGATATGCCACCAGTTCATATGTGTGTATTTTTGAGTCATGAACATGAACTACTTAAAACAGAAATAGTCGAACTTAAAAATCATATCAATTTTCTTGAAAAAACAATAGCTGAAAAAAATCTTGACCATACTCGCTCATGTTCAATTTCATGTCAAACGGATATTTCTATTCAACGTCGTCCAAATCCATCGGAACCTATAAGACCGTCTTTTGATGAAGAAGCTCATTTACATCGTCTTATCAATGCTCAAAATGAATTATTAAGAAAATATGAAAATGAAGCAATTCATAATCACCACCGACAGTTTGAAGTATCACCTCCATCTGCACTTATTGAAGATTATGAACGTCGTTTAATTCGATGTCAAAAAGAAAAAGAACAAGCTGAAAGACGAACTGTTGCTGTTCAAAATCGTATGAGAAAACTAGAAAGACGATATGAAAGTATGCGTCAAAAACTGAACTTACTTGATGATGAGTTTTTTGAAGAAGTTAACGATCTTAAGTTTGCTTTACAGCAAGCAACAAGTCTGAATCGAGAATATGAAAAAACAATACAAATGTTAAGTGCTCAACTTGGTATTACGTATCCAATAACAGATACTTAGATTGTGATGAAATACAGTTGTTGTTTTTTTTTCGAATGATTGATTCTTATGTAATTTGTAATTTTTAGAAAATATATTTATGTTAATTTAATTCTTTTTTGTTTTTAATAAATGAAACACTCAAAAAAAAATGTTCAGAGAAAATTAATTCGAACATTAAAATCACAATGAATTAAGAAGAAACGAACGATGTACACATTTTCTTCATTATACATTGATTGGATGATAATAGATTCATATTGCAATTTGTAGATTGTTGAAGCGATCAAAGATTTCAAGCAATGCATTTTCACATACAATTTTGGCAACAAATATTAATACATATTTACTATTGCGCATCTCAAGTCATATGAATATAGCCTACTATAATCGCTAAGAGTCTTATGAAATTTGTTCGAATTCAGCGAACTCACGTAACGTTCATCGGTGCTCATTAAAATACTTATAATTATTATAAGAAATTGGGTTGCTGATTGTTAGAGCTATGTACGTAGTCCTCTAAATTTTTTGCTCAAAAATTCAGTTTTAACATATGAACGTTTTTGAATAGCAGGTTTTGTTTTCGGATATTTAGTGTACATACTGGTAGATTCTGCAAATTCCAATAACACTTTATCAAGACATATGGAAATGAAAGAAGTCGGGCTCGAATTAGATTCCAACTTTGTTTCGTGTCTGGATGCCTTTACAAGATATTTTTGGAGCCGCCAAAACCAGGAAAAAATTTAGTTGACTCTAAACCGTTTCCAAAATAATTAATGCCATGTGAGAACAGCATTTCTGTTATATTCATCGCATATGCATTTAGTCTTCATACTTTGCGTGTTTTTCTCTATAACAAAATTTATACTTTGTATCGTGATGTTCTAGATAATGTTGCGTCCATAAAGATATCGTTCAGGCTATGCCAGGAAGATCTATATCTCGAAATGATACAAATGCTTTTGAATTTTCAACATGAGTTTCCTTTTATCTTCAGTAAATTTTCACAAAACAGTGATTTGGCCTCATCTTTTACCCTAGATAAGTAAAAGTGGTCAACTACTCTCCAATCAGCTGTTGTTAGCAGAAGAAATAATGAAAATCTTCGACAGAACAAAATCAATTCTTTGTTTATCATTATTATGCTAATTGAAACCCAAAAGTCGATGATTGAAATCGTTTCGCACTACATTTATGTAGATCTTTAAGACTTTTCGCTTTTTGTTTTACCAACCAAACAGTCACATCGAAAGTTATCATTTTCTATTGTGATGATATCGAGAACAGAATGCCAAGAAATTCGCAGATAAACGATCTTGTACTGTCTTATTCATGCATTGAAGAAGGTAAAATTTATTTTAACAACATGAATTTGTAGGCAATCTTTTTTCGTACGAAACTTTTATATTTGAAATCAAAACCGATTGCATGTCTTAAGCTCTTTGCTTTTGGTACTCTATAAATAATACGCGTAAAAAAACTTATTGCGATCCCAACAACAGAATGAATATGTATCTGACCAAACAAGAATGTATCAAATGAAATTAAACATAAATGCAGTGTTCTAAATATTATCATTTATCGACATGGGGCAACGCTAATCTTTTTACTCTTGATATTCATAACGTAACAGAGGTATATAACTTAACTGATATAATTTGTTTTGATTTCAAATATGGAAATTTCCTACACATTCATCCTCGTAAAACAACTATAACCGTCTCCAATGCGTGAATAAGATATTGCAAGAACATCTATCTGTGATTGATGTATTCATGGGACATGACTAAAACAATTCTTCAACATGACATATTTTATTCAAATAGAATATCTAATATAGTTTGTAGTACTCTTGATAATGATCTATTGAATAATAAAATTAGTTAAACATCATAAGAATTACGTAGAGCGCAAGTCATTCTATTGAATCAAGTATCATAACGAAAATTTTAGTTTAGAACAGGCACATAACAGTTTACAATAATAACTAATTGGATAATTTTGAAAAAATGAAAAACGACATGCTGTGATTCTATCGTCAATAAAAACTAAACAAACTAAATGAATTTATCTAAATCTTTTTTAATATACTAGAGAGTATAGAATGTAATCTGATAAAAATCAGACGATTCTAGCTCATCTAATTTTTGAGATATACACAAAAGAATATTAAATTACCTATTATATAGTTGAATAATTTTGACATTTACTGTATATTCTGATACTCCAAACAGGTTCCTATAATTTTATTACATATGACCATTCTTCAGTTGGTATGATAGTATAAGAATTTCGATCAAAAGTGTTCACTTCTGAGTTAGATGGATTGATAAGGAAAATATGTGCTTCTACAGTAAATTCCATACTATACTATCTATTCAAGTGAGAATTATTTATGATAAAATAGATCTATTTTTCGGTGTCTACCTCTTAGAACGGTTCAAAGATGATACTGAATAGTTTCGTGAAGGTTGAAAAAGACATCAATACAAAAATTATATGGTCGTTATCATTATAACAACAAATCTAAAGAATTATCTTCTAATCACCGTGATACTCAACTAAAATTAATTTTATCCATACTCAATCATGATCAAAGAATAATTATTTATTCATGTCTGCAAAATAAAGAGTATCAATACTAAATTATTTCGCTTGTTGTTTTTACCAGTTAAGAACTAGTAAATCTTTTTTTATGTCTAAAAGCTTTCTTCAAATGAGAGAACGATCTATGAATAATATACAATTCTGACTTCTTTAAAATGTCATTCTTCACAAAGACTAACAAGTTCTAATTCATCGTTGTCTATTTATCAACATCAATGTTGATTTGAATCGATTTCAAATCCATAAAAAAAGAACTTATTTTTTTCAATTATCTATTCTTTCTCATTATCCTCAGCGACTGATGCAATGAGACAATTATTTTCAACATGGGTTTATCAATCTGATCATCATTGTAGACATTATTGTCATTTTGATCACATATTTTGCACCACAAAAATTTATCTTACATGTAGGTAAAAGCGATGTAACTGAAACACCTTAGTTCACTTTTCCCAGACAAATCCCCGGGGTGTCACTGACATTTTTGAGAAATACCCGGGGAGTTAAAAAAACAAAAAATAAAGTTTGTGACGAAANACTACATTTATGTAGATCTTTAAGACTTTTCGCTTTTTGTTTTACCAACCAAACAGTCACATCGAAAGTTATCATTTTCTATTGTGATGATATCGAGAGCAGAATGCCAAAAAATTCGCAGATAAACGATCTTTTACTGTCTTTTTCATGCATTGAAGAAGGTAAAATTTATTTTAACAGCATGAATTTGTAGACAATCTTTTTTCGTACGAAACTTTTATGTTTGAAATCAAAACCGATGGCATGTCTTAAGCTCTTTGCTTTTGGTACTCTATAAATAATACGCGTAAAAAAACTTATTGCGATCCCAACAATAGAATGAATATGTATCTGACCAAGCAAGAATGTATCAAATGAAATAAAACATAAATGCAGTGTTCTAAATATTATCATTTATCTACATGGGGCAACGCTAATCTTTTGACTCTTGATATTCATAACGTAACAGAGGTATATAACTTAACTGATATAATTTGTTTTGATTTCAAATATGGAAATTTCCTACACATTGATCCTCGTAAAACAACTATAACCGTCTCCAATGCGTGAATAAGATATTGCAAGAACATTTATCTGTAATTGATGTATTCATGGAACATGA